TCCTTTTGAGAAACTGAGGGGTTTTTTTAATAATCTATCCTTATTTTTGAGTCAGCTTTTGCAGAAAGCTAGTGAAATCTGGGGTTTCTCTTAGCATTGTGTTCAAAGACCCAATACAACACTATTCACCTTGCAGTTGTTCAATGCCTCACAGTAGAGGCATCCGATGTCAGGGGTAACTTCTCATAGCACTAGTATGGCTAAGGTTGGATTCTGTTTGGGAAAGGGAAGGCATGCTTGTTTTTCCTGAGGTAAAAACAAGAAAACAGCAAACATGAAAAATAGTCAAAAATTAGGAAAGACAAGAAGTCTCTTAAAAATGTGTACTAAACTGAGTTTGTAGACTTTCAGAATGATCCAGATCTCTGAGTGCTTGAGAGTCTGCCAGCATCGTTTGGGGTTTCTTGCCATTTCAACACAAGAGGACTGATTGCCTGAGGGGGACTCCAGGTCCCTGTAGCAAAGCGTTGTCTGGATATGTGGTGGGAAAGAATAAATTTTACCCTGAAATCATTCTCCTCAGGAGCTACCAGGTATATCCACATTCAGAGAATTTCTTTGAGACTTATGTCGAGCAATTTATGCCTCTTCCTCAGAAGCTGTAGATTAGGATTTCCTTTCCCTGGACTATTGAGCACACTGTAATCAAGTGAACAGCATTTTATATTGCAAAACCTTGGATAATATTTATACAACACAAAAAGATCTTCAATAGCATCGAGAAAAATAACTGGGCACTCAGGGTTAACAGACCTAAAACAGGCTCTGTACCTCAGCATCGTCTTCTTTGCACAGTCCTGAGGGAGAACATCTACTTTATCACTCATAAAGTGATGACTATATTTGACTTGCTCTAAAATAAACTCTAAAATACTCAGTATCCCTGGGGTTTTTTTCCCCTGTGTCTGATGAGGGGGACACAGCAGACTCTGCTCAGCAATTTGTTGTCAGAGTAATCAAGATAATAAAATTTTCATAGTGTATTCCCTCTCAAGTGCTGAAATGGCTATGTTCTTCTCCATTTCAACCTCTCAACTCTTCTCAAAAGAGAAGACTGACAATGTACAACCTTGGCACGGCATCCAAAGGCACCTTCCCAAACCTAAACACAGCTGCTTTGTCTAATTTTAGATCTACTGACCCTTTAACGGCTGAGGAACTATGGACATTTGTGAAAATGTTGCCCAAGGCATCTTCATGGTACCTAAATGGTCCCTGGAAAAGTCCTTGTGGCTGTTTCACTGATAGCAAAGGCACAGCACGTTAGTTGTTAACATGGATGGACTTGCAAGGGCCTGTTCCTGAGCCACTCCAGGGATGAAATTAAAGACACGCAAGCAGCTCACTGAACTGGCACATGAAAAGAGTAAAGTTTGCATGGAAGGGCTAACTTTGCGTTCAGGGCAGGGCAAATGTAGGTGCTCTGAAGCAATAGACAAAACAGTTCATCTTCTTGCCTTTCCCCGAACTACACAACCAAGGGCACTTCACTGATCCCAAGTGGTAGTTTTCTTGTGCAGGGTAACAACTGTTGCCTTCAGCTGGTACAGGCCTGACCAATACCATCTTTGTGTGTTCAGATTTCACAGGCTTTTTCTCTTGGTCAGGCAAGCTCGAAATTCCCCCTCTAACGACAGTTCACATAATTTATTTGTAATGATCACCTTAAGTGTGTTGCTGTTTTTTAATCGAGTTTCTGTATTTTTTTAAGCCCTTTGCACTTTTTAGGGATTCCCACAGTAATGCCCAGGTGAGGACAATTTCCAGCCATGACAGCATGGCTTCATGGAATAGCCTGACTGTCTCTCCCATCTGTGAAGAGCTTCTTTGGTCTGCCTGTTGAATCTCAACATAGTCATTCCTCTTCTCCAAAACACTATTCTTTGCAGGTGCACGCTTCCCCCCACGTCCTTGCAGCTGCCACATGCAACTGCCTTTAGATAGAACTTTGTTGCATTAGTTGAGGACGGGTTAACACCCATGAATTTCAGTAAAGCATGCTTTGTGGAAGGATTAGAGAAGGGAGATGCCTTAAAATTTTAGAATATCATATATCTGAGGCTCTGTTGTTCTTGGGTAACTGTTGCTGTGTGGGAAAGAGCACGTCACCATGTTTGTGCCTGTAGTGTTGCTGGAGAATGCAGTCTCAGCACGTAAAGCAAGAGTATTCACACAGATATACCTATGTGAGCTGAGAATGTTTTCATATATGGTAGTGTTTTTACCTCAGTGTTGTCCATTGTTAATTAAGGTTACTTTGCTTTTTAAAAATTTCATGCTGAAGGCCCTTTTGCTACTTCCTCATCCTTTAATGCCCATGTTAAAAAAATCTGATAGAAGCAGAATAGACAAAGACTTTAAGGATGAGAATTGTTGTTCTTACCATCATTTGTCAGCAAATTTTTCTCTCCAGTGTGAAAATCTTCCCAGCTTACTTCTCAAAGCAGAAAAGTGTCAATAAAGCCTGTTACCAGCAAGCCTGCAGCAGTTCCCTTAGCTTCTCCATCATGCAGCCAGTAAAAGATATAGAGAACTTCCAGTAGAGGAACCCTGGGTTACACATACATGTGGAACTTGAAAAACAGGTTTAACATGGCATTTCTTGATAATGCTCTTTCTCTTGCCTTTAAAACTTAGTTTTACTTGTAGTTCAGATGTTGAACATCAAGCAGCCAGGTAGTTATCAGTCCTTGGGAAAAACAACTTGAATCCACTACAAAATGTACCAGCAAGTAGCACATCAAAGACAAGAAATATGAACTAGATCAGCCCCTTGTCTTGGTTACAGATTGTTTCCTGCTGAAACACAAATTTAGAAAGATATATAAAAGGCACCTAGCTTCAAGTATATAAGTATATTTGAGGGCATTACTTGAATCTGCCTTTGAATCTGTCTTTCTGGGCACTTTAGAGGATTCCTGCAGGTAACTAATGGGAGGCTACTGGGAGTCTGCACAGTGAAGCAGAAGTCACTTTTTGTACCTAGCTGTTGGTTCTTTTGTTCACTTGTTTCCATTCTGAACAGTTTGATCTCATTTCAGCCCCTGGAAAAAACGTTTTGATGTGCTTTGCAATGCAGTGAAGCACAATTCCCTGCTCCTTACTGCTGAGGACGAGCTGTGCATGCCGACGGGCGCTGGTGCTGGCACACTGGGTGGACACCTCCCCACAGCCAGCAGCAGGGAGGAATAGCAGTCGTGGGTGATGGCATGGGTGGAGCTCCTCACACCAGTTGTCCCATGGGAGATAGCTTATCTGTGCACGCCTGTGTTTCTGGAATAATATACATTTGATTGAAAGCCAAAATTAGAGTAGGGAAGAAATTGGCTGCCAAGACCTGATTGGCACTTGGAGTCAAAGGAAGCAGCATGGACCCTGCAGGGAGGATCTCCTTATCCGTCAGCACCAGTCTGCTCTACCTGCAGGTGTGTCCCAGCAGTTCCTGCTACTACTCTTCTTCCTGTTATTTTTGTTACCCTTTAAAAAGTCTTTATCTTTCAGCATTTTACACAGAGAGGCACCACAAATGCTTGATTAATAGGGCAATGCATTGCTATTTGTAGAAAGGAGAGAGCAAAAAAGTAATTTTAAGAGTACCTCAGTATCTGCTTTTTCTCAAACCAGTTAGTTTGATCAGTCCCATCTACATTCTGTTGTGTCTTTTGAATTATACTGAAAAATGCTGAAGCCACTGCATAACTAATTATGGTGCCTCTGCCCAGACCTTTTGTTGTCCTTTTTCACATCCACATGATTCTTCATGTCCCTTCAGAAGCTCAGAAGGGAAAGATACTATTAATGGAAACATAATTTAAGTTAAAGAATTGGGTTTGTTGTTGTCAAGTCTGGCTGGTGAATAATGACTCCTTAAATATTCTGTGGACAAACAGCTTGCATTTCTGGGAGTGGCATCTTCTACCTGCAGCGCTCTTGTGTGTTGAAAACAGAGCTGATACCACAGTAAATGACCACAATGTAAAAAGGAAGGGGCAAGGTTTGAATTGCAGGTCCATAGCCAAGTGCTAGACTTTAGGTACACTGTAACAAACCCAAATAGCTGTTAATGTCTTATATCAGAAATAACAAGTGGAATTGCTGGCAATATTCTGTTTTCTGAGTTTTGTACCTATGTAAACAAGAAGAGATCCTCTCTGCGTTTGTTGACACATGTTAGTATGCTGAGGTGATTTATTTTGGCCTGATAAGCTTTTTCTCATCTTATTCTGCCTTTTTAGCAACATTTTCTATCATTTGTTAGAAAGATGGTGCTAAAAGTTTTTTCTTACTATAACAGTGATAATGTACTGTCCATATCAGTCAGGCATGATTGCTGCTTGAATAGTTAAAGTGCCTTCATGAGAACTCTTGTTGGACTTTAAAGCTACCATTTAAACAAACATCAACTAGCATCAACAAAATACTTCTACCTTGTCAAGTGGGCCATTCAAACAAAACATTACATGCACCCAAACTATTTGCAGCAGCTTGAGGAGAGATCTTTCTCTGCTGTTGGCTACAAAGTACAAGCAAGACATTGCATGGAGCCAAAATCGGATTATTTGGGTTATTTTAAAAGGAAGGCAAAAGGATAATTCTTAAAGGCAGGTATATATGCCACAAGATGCAGTTAAGTACCTACTAGGATGAAGGATCAAACCCTATTACAAACCAAAGGGAGTAAGGGAACTCTCTATTGTTTAAATGCCACAGAAACTTCGGTGTGATTTCTCTTTCTCTGTTACTCTCTAAATTTCTTTGATAGCCAGGTCTTATGCTTTTTGCTCTTTAAAAATCCCACAGAAGAAGAATATAAATTGGGAGGTGAATGCCCTCTTCCAAATGGAATTTTGACCCAGGTACTTAGACCTATGCTGGTGCAAAAGTCTCACAAAACTGAAAGGATTTCACATGTGGGAGGGAGTCCCACAGCTAGAAGAGAAGGTAAATTGGCAACAGATTGAGAACAAGTTACTAATTCTTCACATGCCTCTTTTTTCCAGCTGCCTATTTCTCTGTCCTTCGAAAGCCACCCTCTACGTCCAGTTTTCCAGGAGGTCTGTTTGGTTTCTTCTTTCTCCTTACTATTGACTCTTTCACTCATTGCAAAACACCTCCCTTCCCTCTCCACATTGCTCTGCTCTTTCCAGGGAAGTGTGACTCTGTCTCCTCTCATATCATCCTGCCTTCCTGATTGTTCTAGCCTGAGTCTGGTGCGAAGCCAGCTACGCTGCTCTTCAGTGATAAATTATACCATCTCCCCCTCCCCCTTTGACATATCACTTTTTTTTTCTAAGACTTGAATAAAACAACTTTAGCCATAGAATGTAGAACAATCTTTTTAACGTAAATTTCAAATGCTCTTCAGAACATCCTGAGTGAAGTTTCCAGTAAACATCATAGAGCATAAGAGTACCCTGCTTTTGGGTACTTCTCCACAATCTGGGTAGGTGAAAAGGCAGTGGGGGAGAGCTGACAGTTCAGCGACACCAAAGCACTCCACACTCCTTGCACAGAAAAGTGGGTTTGTATTAAACTCCCCTGAATTGCAATAATGTGTACAAAGGGAGTAAAATCCAGAGCCTTTTAAGGTCACCTCCAACTAAATTGAAGTAAATTAATTAATAAGTAATTTCTTAATGGTGTTAGAAGAGCCAGTGAGAAATTATTATCATGATTTATTATAGAACTAAGTAATGTCTTCGTGTGTGTATATAGATGCAGATGTGCAAGGAAATAATTTCTACAAAGACTGTGTTGAGTAACTGTTTGAGAAACCTGTGCAGATGCTGAGTATGTTCTTGATCAGTGCATCTGAAAAATATAATTCACGGGTATTTATTACATCTTTGTACCTCCCTGTGGCAAGGGAGGGACAGGAATCTCTCTCACAAAACAAGTAGAAAACACTGTTGATTTTTATTTCCAGTATAAGTCCCCAGGAAAAAAAAAAAAGAAAAAGAAAGTATACTCTTCCTTCCCATTTCTTATTCAGATTTAATAAAAGTCCTTATTATTTTTATCGAAATGATTTCTCTCTCCTATTGTGTCTCCTGCATCGGTGGGGCTCACTTCACTAGTTTTCATATAGCAGACATGTTTGCAAGAAGTGTTAAGTTTGAACAAGGAGATATTTTGTTTGTTAATTAGACCTGTAAGATTTCTGTGAGGACCCAGGGTGTGTCCGATGGCCTCACTGGCAAAGTGAACTCTGCACCTGAACCGAGCTCCTGCCATGAGCTGCACTGCCAAATGGATGTGCTTGTAAGGCATCCTGGATATCCGGCCTGGTCTGCGTGGGGACATTCATTGAGCAGTATGGCTTCAGCAGTCCAGGGACACAGCTGCAGAGAGCTTTAGTGAAGATTGACTGGATCAATATCCCTATCATTGCTTATACCAAGTAATGAACTCCATCGTTACCTGCATCAGTGTGCCCAATGGCATGTTAATTTGTACGTAGCTACTCATAATATGCAGGGTAAAGTATATTTGTACAACTACTTTTTTTGTAGATACATTGTGAGGACAAACCTTAGAAATACAAACAAAAAATATGCCAATATACACAGAAGTATATATATGTAAAATTGCACTCCCTCTTCTTCCATTGCATAAGACCAGCAGGCGTGAGAAGAAAATAATTCAGTTTCACTTTTTATAATGATAGAGACTAGAAACAAGAATGTATAAGAAAGAGCATATTGGCAAAACATAAATTCTGAGGAAGCTGCACTGTGGGGACCTGCATTGACCCTTTTGAGACACGTTAGCAAAAGTTTCTCTTGACTTCAGCAGGAATTAATATGCTACCCAGGGGAATACCCAAGAGACATGCATTTAGAAAACATGATAAAACTTGTTGGCTGCTTGGGAAGAAAAGGGCATTTTCACAAATGGAATTGTTCTAGACAAGTCAGGATTCCCCCTGCCAGCTGTCCTGCTGCTGTTCCTCCTTCATCCTAAACTACTTGTGTTGCTTCTGTGATGGTAGTTCTGTTTTTCTCCTAGGTATTTATCTGATAGCAATAATGCCATCTTCTTTTATATTTACTGCTAGCAGTACCACAAACCAGCCTCTTGTTTGCCTTCTTTATTGCAGCTGCATACGGGGCGGAAGGCTTTAGGGACTTTCATGCAATAATTCCCAAATCTTTTTCCAGTAAGTATACTACAAACTCAGCTCACTACAGAGCATTTCCATCTAGTTCCTATTTTTATGACTTTTGTTTGTGTCATTTCACTTCTGAATAATGTATTGCATGTACTACCAAAGAGCTTAAGTAGTCTGATCTTTTGGCTTTGTTCACATGTATTTTGTTTTAACTTAATAGAAAATCTGCTTCAAAAGCCACCTTCTCCAAACCCTGGCAGGCAAGGAGCTTATAATTGTTTTGCATAAATATGTGTATTTATTAGTTGTTATTATTATATTATATTATATTATATTATTTATTTATTATTATTAAAAGGGAAAAATTGGTGTGTAAATTATGGAAAATCTTGTAATATGCTCAAGCCAAATAATTCTATTGCTTCTGTTTGCCATGGTGAAAACAGCAATATGGGGTTGTAGTCCACTAAATTTGCAGAATCACTTCTCTTTAGCCAGTTATGCCATCTTTGTAAATCATTGTTTGGTCATTGATTTTTTTTTCCATGTGGCTAAATTATTCCACTTTTTAGGACATATATTTTGAGGGAAAACTGCTTATTATGGTATGCGCTTATTCTGTCTTGCGTACGATTTCTATTAAAAATGCAATGTCTGAAAAATCATTAAAATGCCTAGATTGGTAGACTTTTTAAAAGGTATCCATTCAAGCAGTATTCAGAAATGTGAACACCTTTAGGCTTCTGTTTACCAGTAAGATTTTGAGTTAGATACTCTTGTAAGTCACATCCATGCAGTCCTCCTGGGACACGCGGGAGGTTGCAGGGTGTATCAGAGAAGAGTTTGTCAAACCTGTCCCTTTCAAAGGAATATCAGGGTCTTTAAAGCCCTGAGGTAACTATTGCCCATAGCTTATTATTATTACACCACCACTTTTGAATGAGGCTACCATGAAACTGCCATTCCACAGAAGGAAAAGACCTGAACTTTATTGGATAAAACAGACCAGCTTTGGTGTGGGGTGGGGCGAAGGAAGAGGTTTTTTATGGTATGGAAAGTAAGACTTTGGCCAATGAAATGGCCTTTTTCAGCCTAATGAAGAAGTATTTTTTCACCAAAATCACTAGATCAGAAAAAACGAGAAATAACAGCAAAGATTGCTTTTTTTCTACACAAAGCATCATACAGTCCTGTGGAGAGAAGAGCAATGAATATTGCCATGAACTAGTCTGAATCTTGACCCTTTTCCTTAATGTTAAAGTTTGCTGTGTTCATAGCCTCTGTGTTACCACATGTGAGGCTATGACAAATTCACACCGGAATTTTTCTGGCTGAAAGCAACTGTCACCCGTGGGATTATAACACAAAGGATTTATCCAATAAAGTCATAACAGTTCCCCCGCCCACCTTTGTTGATTTGACTGGTTATTAATAGTAGCACATGGCTGTGGAAATCCTCTCCTATTACTCATCAATCCTAATCCTTCTGTCCTAAACCAAATTGTCACTCCTCTAATTTTCTGCAATGCTAGTTCTTACTCTTAAATTCTTCCTTCCATCCTTCTCTGCCCTGGTTTCTTTATCAGTGTTTCTACTCTTTGCTTTCCCATTGTCCTTGCTTACCCCATAGAATTCCAAATATTTGGATTCAGTACAACACTTGGGATCTTCCCACCAAGCGGAGAATGTTGCATTTTCTGTTCATTTTCATCCATTTTCTTTGATTACTTACTTTCACAATTGTTTCTGACAAACCCCTATGAAGTGGATTCATTTTAAGTTTCATTCCAGTTAGCCTGAATTGTCAAAATGAAATCTATAAATGCAAAAATCTCAAAGTGACCTAGAGACAAACTTGTAATGTTGTTTGAGTTCCCAGCTACCTGGATGCCTTGTGTTTTACTGATGTTCACTGTTCACTGCTACATGTGTTACAAACTCATCACATTGCCCATAGAATTTTAGTTGTGTTCATAGCTTTTGTTGTTCAGATATATTGTACATGCTGTTTAGAAGTTAACTCCTTTCATGTGATTGTTTATTTGCCACAATATTTGTTCTGTAACAAAACTGAGTGGCATCCTGTATTGTTTTTTTTCAGCTGGTAATATTAAAATAGAGACTCATAGTGATGAAGAGAATGGGCGTGCCTGTGAAATGAATGGGGAAGAATGTGCAGAGGATTTACGAATGCTTGATGCTACAGGAGAGAAAATGAATGGCTCACACAATGGCCCAGGCAGCAAGGCTATGTCAGGAGTTGGAGGCATTCGACTTCCTAACGGAAAGCTAAAATGTGATATCTGTGGGATAATTTGCATCGGTCCCAATGTGCTCATGGTTCACAAACGAAGCCACACTGGTAAGGCCTGACATAGTTTTTCCTTTAGTTGACAAGAATTGGCCACATATTAGTAACTAAGACTTATTTTCTGTGTCATGCATGTGTTGCCTCTTGTAAGGTAATACAGCATTAGTGACCATTTGTAACTCAGTTATTTTGGTACACTCTTTTGGACAGCACAGGAATTGAGACTTCTTCTTCCTGCAAGTCCATCTATTGGGGTAATCAATTTAAAAAAAAAAGGTAAAGAAGATGTGTAAGTCTTGTTTAATTTCCAAGAAATTTCTAAGAATTGCTGAAGACAAACCCATTTGTTGGGTTTAACTCTGAAATTGACCCAATTGTAATGTTTCCAACAAAGCAACAAAGCTCATTATGGATCAGTGGTTATGAAAGTGATTGGTAAAATACATGTTAAGAGAATGGTATTGGCAGTCTTAGTAAAAAAGGGTTTAATTTTATGTCCAAAGTTTCATGGAGTAAAAACAAGTATTGTCACTGGTCAAATCTGCACTAAAAGGTTTCCTCTGATATGCTAAAAGAGGCATAAAAAAAGACATCCATAGGGATGGCGTTTCATTATACAGTGCTGGAAATTTCTTGCCTCAATTTTCTAATTCTGAATAGTCTCAGAGTCCAAAAATGAAGAGGCTGAAACAAATGAAGAAGTTGTGCCATGCAAGTTACTTTGAAAATAAATAGAGTATTTGGCATTTTTTGCATGAATATTCAAATAAGAGGGAATTTTAAAATATTTTTAAGGCAAGAACAACCTGTTTGATAGTTAGATTCCACTGAAATAGTTGTGCCAGTAAACACATGGATACTTTCTTCCTCCACATATGCACAGTCATGGTTAAACAACTTCCCCAGAATTACTAATGCTTGAGATTAGCAGAGCATTTTCGGAGTTTCGTTGAGAGGATCCAGGAAGAGACCCCGAGTGTTGTCCATCACCCCCCCCCCCCCCCAGTGTTACTGTCTTTGATTGTAACTGTGTCTGTTCAAGCTATGGAAGGGTGGGATCTACTAGTGTAATGTGGGTTAGCCACCTTCAGAAGCAGTACTGTTACATTGTCTGCTTCCAAGTACTCTTCATTTCCATGTGAAAAATCCCTCTGTCAGAGAAGAGCAGATAATTATCTTTATTGGAAAAGCCACAGCTAGTTCTCAGAACAGAGGCTGTAGCCTACATCCTAGATATAATAAAGTGCTTGTTGGTTGATTGTTTTCCTTTCTTTTTAATTAAATGTTAATATGATCATTTAAAAGTTGATAAAATGTGTATGAAAATTACTTGTACATTTTTAAAAAGACCCATGGGCTTGAAGGGGATGCTGTAGTAGTTGAAACAATATGTTGCAACTTAAAATGTACTTAGAGGTAGAAGTCTTTGTGCTTGTTTAAGCAGACTGCATTTTTATTTAAAAAATAACCTCCTCTTGCTGCTTCAGAAGAGCTGTTTTGGGTCCTGAGGGTCCCTGGCAGTGTTTGCACCAGGGCTGAATGGTTTGTGTAAGGATACACCTGACTTTAGGGAGACAGTGGGCAGAGCTGCCTTTATTTAAAGCGCTCATTGGTACCCGGCAGGCTGAGTCTCCGAAGAATGAGCTGGGCTGCCTGGTCCCTGTGACAGCATCCCCAGGGGCTGCCCCACTGGGTGCCAGGTCTTTTCCCTGACACAGAAAGTCAGCTGCCCAAATTCCTTGCCTGGCAGAGGGACCTATATGCCTGCCAAGAGTGCTCAGGGTGCTGCCACACAAGAACTGTCACTCCAAGAGTTCTGCACACTTTGCAGAGCCCTCTCCTTGCCAACGAGACCCTCTTTTAATCAGGGAATATAGTTCAAGCCTACAGTGGAAGCACCCACAAGAGGCACTTTACTCGGGATGACCTCCTTCTTTTACACTTAGTAAAACTAAAGGATGTGGTGTTGTTCCTGGGTCCTTCCATGGAAAGAATGCCTTTGCTTTCCCTCCTACCTTGTTCTCAGCTCCTCTCCTGAGCAGCCTCTTTGAGGGAGCTCGGGTGGTTTTTCAGGGGTTAGCAAGGGAGTGGAAGTTTGGAGCTGGTAGTTTAAAGGGGCATCATGAGGAAACAGTGGTGACTGCTTTTCCTTTCAGCTGCACTGTGAAAATTAAAGTAGAAATGGGATATACTATTACAGACATTTAACTGACTATGCCGAAGCCCATTTCAATACATGCCTGGTGAAGGAATAAGCCTTGCAAATGAATTACTTTGCTGCTAATTCATGTAAAACCTGCATATGCCTTGTGGTTTTCTTAAATAAATATTTGATAAGTGAACAAAACTCTAGCACACTCAAGTGCCAAAATAAAATGTCTGCCTGACCTGATAAAAGGCATAATTACTTTTAATGAATACACCTGCCAAATGCAGATATGCAGAGCAACACCTGATATTTCTGCCCCCTCCTGTCTGCAGGCAGCTGTGCAGCACTTGCTGCTTCCTAGCCCCTTACCTGTTGGCTCCGTCTGCAGAGCAAATCCTCCTCACAGATGCTCAACTCTTCTCACTCTCCTTCCCTTTCAGTACATTGATTTTCTCCAGCTTGCCGTTGTCTTGCTTGGTGTTTAGGAAAAAGGAGATCTAGAAAGGAGAAAGAAACTCTCGCTCGGTGGTGCTGATGCCTCAGGGTATAGGTTCAGGTTTCACTTGCTCAATGTGCACTTACGTGTATATATGTGCGTATATGTGTGTGCGTGCATAGGTATATGTGTTGCCTCCTTATATGTACAGTGCTGTAACTTAAGTCACCAGTTACGTCACTTAAATCTTTTTAGTTGGGTGTGAATGTCTTGAATTTATTTAGAAAACTAATGCCCATTGAGGAATGAGCATTAAAAAAAAAAAAAAAGAAAGCTCTAGAGACCTCTGCAGGTCTCTTAGGTGATTTTGTCATATTGTTTAAGAAATGAGAAAAATTTCAATTAAGATGATAAATATGCTTCACTGAATAAGTGGTCCAGGGCCTGTGCTCCCACAAAGGCTTGCAAATCACTGCAGTGGTGGTTGATTAAATTATTCAATTCAGGGTCCCATTGCAGTTTTTGTTCCTGGGCCCATATTTGTCCATGGTTACACACCATATGGTAAAATCCGCCCAGGATAGGTATGTGCTCTTCAGAACTGGTGAGAAAATGACACAGAAAGCTCACTGTCTAAAAAGAAAAAAAAAAAAAGAGTCATTACGTATTTTTTCTTTCCACCGTATCCCACCCTCATTTGAGGGGATATCACCAGACCCAGTAACCTTCCATCAGTGAATGTCAGCGTTCTAGCAGGTCAGGGAGCCTTTGCTGGGCTTACAAGGCAGGCGTTCCCCATCCTGGTAGTTGCAGCATGGACAGCCATGGGCCAGCCAAGATACATGTAACTCTTCAGGGTCTTTCAGTGGTTGTGTTGTTTCTCTTGTACAGCAGCAGGGGTGCAGGCTCCCTTATATTTGATCCCACTGTAAGTTTTGTAGAAGTATTTGGCATGCAGCAGTCTTGTTTTAAATGCTCCGTGTGTCTTGTTTACCAATTGCAAGATTTCAGCCTGTAATTGGGAGACCTGTAGTCTAGAGATACATTTCATTCTTACTTTGCTTTGCGTTTTGTTCCAGGAGTACTTTTACAATCCTCGTTTTCTCCTCTTACGCTCCTCTAAATAAAAATTGCAGAAATGAATGCTAGAAAAGCTGTTTAGTAAGAATTAACCATTTCTTCTGAATTTGTGTCCCCCATGATGCACTGACTTCTTCATTACTGTTTCAGCCTGTTTCTGAAAAATACCTTCCATGCTGAGTAACTACCCTAAAGATTAAGACATAAAGCAGAGAGAAACCTGTTTTCTTTTTCCCTAACCACTACTGTGCATGGCTTATGAAGCACATTGCAAAGTCTTGTAAGGCTTATGCTGGCATTTTTGTAGGCCACCGCAGCTGAATCAGTTGTGGGCATAGTTTACAGCTACTTGATGGACAAAGAAAGTGAGCTCGTTTGGGTTGATGGGGACTATGCTTTCCTGCTTGAAACTGTTTGCCCAGTGAAAATATCTTGTCATAAAGTGGATTCGTTTTACTGTTTGCTGAATGCTAAAGCTGCCAGCCCTGATGACAGGGTTTTCAGATTTTTGGGTTGGGATTGTGCTGCTCTCTAACTGATCTTCAGCTCTTCTGCTGCATTACCCAGAAGTCAGACATGATCACACTGCATATATATTCACATGTATGGACATAAAAGTTGATCCTAGGTGTGCAAAATAATACATGATGGTTGAGAGAGAAGAAAGAAATAATTTAACTTTTGTTTAATATATATTTTAACTTCAGCTGTGAAATCTTAAATACAATGTTATTGTTATGCAAATAAAACCAAAACTAAAAACAGGTCATCTCTAGGCTGGTTCTAGTATTGTTATTGCATTATAATTACAACAGCAGATTAAATTTATGCCTAAGAGAAACAGAATTCAGCAAATGAGTTTCAAAGCCTGGTTTGACTTAGTTGAGGGCTATGGAGAAACAGGCATACAGAAGCAGTTTCTGTCTGGTATAACTGGAAACATATTTTATTTCCCACTCATTTCAGCAAAGACTTCTTTCATCTTAAATTTAAAAAAACAACCAGAAACAAAACAAAAAACAAACCCACCATAAACTAATAAATGAGCATATTGATTTTAAACAGCACTAAAAAGGAAACAACAGCCATGTTAATTTTTGCAAAGGCATTGATTCATTTCCTTGATAACAGGCACCAATTTAGAAAAATCAAGGCTTTGTCGCTTCGAGTTTTTCCCTGTGTCTGTCCAAAGTGTGAACCATCAGAGCCTATTTGTGCAGCTCCTCTGTTCATACCTTACCTAGAGAAGGATTGGGACTCTGGCATGGAAGTACAGGGCTTCCTTTGCACTGTCATAACTTCTGTGATTTTGCTCTCTCTCTTTCTCTCTTTTCTCTGTCTCTTTCCTGATTTGGCTGCTTAGGGACAGACAGGTAATGGAGAAGAAATTGAAAGGGAAAATACAGGGAAAATGTAAATGAAAAGAAGTTATTATAACTGTTATAATGAAGTGCCTTTCATTTAAATATAAGAATGTAACGCTGAAATGAACTTGTGATCCTGAAATGCATTTTTAATGAGTTTCCTTTTTATTTTGCTGCTTCAGTGGCATATTTTAAAGACCCTTTGAAAAAAGCCACATTAAAAACCCCACCAAATGCCACAACATGCAAAATTGGATATTGGTTTATTCCAAAACTGCTGATCAGGAAGAGTGGCTCTTCAACACAAAATGTTGCAGTCACTTTATTTAAATGAGTTTGAATTTGCATTGTGATGTGCCATTCTGATTTAGAAAAAAAAAATTAGATTTTCAGATCAAATTGACCCAGCCAGTGAAGCATTAAGAAACTGGCAGGTTTAGTCTGAAAGCCTCATGTTATATCAAACCTGCAGCCGGTGGAAGTCACAGAGCAGCAGTGAGAAAACAACTTTTTCACTGAAATCTTTCTCTCGTTACTGTGTAAGACTTTTTTATTCTCATGTATTTTCCTCTTCTCCCCATAGGAGAACGCCCTTTCCAGTGCAATCAGTGTGGAGCCTCCTTTACACAGAAGGGCAACCTTCTGCGCCACATAAAGTTGCACTCAGGTGAAAAGCCCTTCAAGTGTCACCTGTGTAACTATGCTTGCCGTCGCAGGGATGCCCTCACGGGACACCTGAGGACTCACTCAGGTAAGTGAAGGTATGGGACTAACCAGGGGTGCTCATCAACACCCCTGTTGAGGCAATAAGGGTGGCCACTAAGGCCTTCTCACCCTGCAGAGGCACGGAGCCCCATCTTGGGGTTAACCAAGCTGTGAGCTGGCCACAGTGTGTTAGCAGCAAAGAAATGACTAAACACATCTTGCACTCATGACCCTTCACCAGAAGACCTGGTTTTTTTCCCATACTTCTTGGATGATTCAAAGTTTCTCTATTAGGGTTTCATCTTACAAGACTTATGTGAGTAATCCATTTCATGGAAGTACAAACATGAGTTAGAGCTGATGAACGTTTTAGGGTAAGAGATAATATATAAGTTGAAACACAGTCTGGTAGTCATCCTCAACCTAACGAGTGAACACAACCTACAGCATTATTTGTTGCACCTTGTTATTACGCATACTTTTAAAGAGAAGGAGTGTGGAGAAGGGAGAGGGTGGGAGAAAGAAAGATGATAATCTTCCACAAAAGGGGACTATGATGGAGTTTTTTAGTGTCTTGTCTCAACAGTAATATGGATATGAGTAAATATTTTTGAATAGCTTCACTTTTCCATTACCAGGAACCTGTCATTGTTTGACAGAAGCCATAGTCACATACCTTTTGTGAAGTAAAACCAATTTAGCACATTTAAGTGCCTTTAAAAGCAGACTGCAGTCTCATCTAGTTTCCCAAGCTAAGCTGCAAATGCAAATTGTTATTTGGATGGGAGACCTCCAATACACATTGCTGGAATTGACGCTGGTAACATTACTTGTGAAAGTTGGCTTTGGGACCAAGTTCTGGGTGGCAAAAGGAGAGCTCTGAAAGTAGTGTTTTTGTGCTGCACAAAACTAAGGAAATTCTTTTCTAGCACACATATTAAATAACATAATAAAATCCTTAGTGTTGATCCCAGATGTCCAAAATAATTTCCACTTCTCTGGTTTGGTCCCAGCCTGATTGAGGAAAGCACATACTTAAAATAGTATTTTGCCTCCCTCTCCTTTGCTGTTACTGATTTTCACGGATGCACAATTTGAAACATAATTCTTCATATATATATATGTATATGAAATTGCACCTAGACACTTTTGGCAAACTATAAGGATTCTGTAGTTGAAGAGACAGTGCATAAACTGTAGACAGTGATTGTTTCCTGCAATTGGTAAATTGACATCAATACATTATAAAACAAGTTGGATGTCTGAATCTGATTTTCACCTAAGAATTTCTAAATAAAATTTAAAAATTAAACTGTGCAACCATCTAAAATTGTGAAATCAAGTGTAAGGTGACAGCCTTGTCACATTAAGACAGAAAATTCGAGTCTAAAAGTACACAAAACAGTTTTGGTGTGAAATTCCTAGAATTAGCTGGATTGGTGTAATACAGAAAAGAAATTGCCGTGACATTTCTCTTGAATTTCCAGAAACAGAAAACATGCAAAATCTAAGATTGTCTTAAAAGGGTTGAGCTGGTTCTCTTTACATCAGAATTGACATCCAGCCGTGGGCAAGTTGCTACCTACACCCCCACTGGCAGTCTCTGTGGGTATAGACACTAAAGCAAATACTTTCAGACCTTTGAAGGTGTTTCCGTTTCTAACTGGTGTAGATGCTGCTTTTAAAGATTTAGTGTTGCAGTCTTTATTTGATGTGGATCATCTAAAATCAGCTTGCAGCACCCACAGAATTGGCCTGTTGATGTAAAGATATATAACTAATTTTCCATTAGTTCTGTTTTCATTTAGATTTTTTTTACACTGATGAAATCTTTCTTCAGTTCACCACAGCATGGCTTTATTTTAGGAGTGGGCTTTTTTCCTGTTGTCATTACCATTTTTAATATGCTGTTGAATACCTCATCTGAATCTCATAATTGATTGTGTTTCCTCCAGTTGGCAAACCCCATAAGTGTGGATACTGTGGTCGCAGTTATAAGCAGCGCAGCTCTTTGGAAGAACATAAAGAACGCTGCCATAACTACCTGCAAACGATGAATCTCTCAAGCAGCATTTATCCAGGTAATAACTGTGTCCATCTGAGGAATAATGCTGTCCTGTCACGAGTGCAGAAAAAGGAGTGCAAAAGGAACAGTAATACCATTTGTGGCAACTTTGGCATTGTGGAGGCACCCCCCCCCAATATGTATGATATTGCATCTGGATTTATTCTTTTTTTGAGAAATATTTAGCTGTTTTCTCACTTTATTTAGCTCAAATAAAAAGCCAAAGTACAATTCAAACATAGCAAAGTCCTTGCAAGACCTGGAAAACATCAGTTCGTCATCCCAAGACAGTGTGACTACATCACCTCACCACTTTTGCTTGGAGTCCTATATTGCAATACTCTTGTGGATATATTTTTAATAGAAACTTAATGCCAGTGTTCTAGATAGGGTTGCAGAACCTTCTGCATTGCACATCTCCTTCCCTTTCCAGGCATGGCTTAAAGGGCTCACTTGACCACTAGGACCAACTCATCTAACAAGGATGAGAAATCTGTCTTTGATCTCACTCTTCCAAGCAAGAGGACGTGAAGCCAAAGGCATTTAAGTTAGGCAGTTTGACTTGAGGCAGTCCAGAAATGTTAATAATTTGTTGACAGCCTTCTTCCCAACCTCCCCTTTAAAAGAAAACTGGGAGGAGGTGAGGCCCTGTTGTTCTTCTCTGAGAGACTAGTTTTATGATGAAGGTAAAGTCCATTTCTTGGAGAATATCAACTCTAAAACTATGCCCAGAAATAGAGCAAGCAGATATTGGGGCTTGGATTATATTTTTTAACAAAGATCCTAGATATCTGTATGGGATCCATCCAAGTAATTAGCCATACAAAATCCCCTCGTATGTGCAGTTTTAGATAGAGAAGATTCAGCTTCTCTGGTGGAGTTTAAGTAAGTTCCATTTCCTGCATACCCTTTTGATCCTCTCAGTATATGTTATTTGGTTTGTCAAATGACAAAAATGGAAGGTTCTCTCTGCCTTATTTGCAATTATGCCTCATTTAATATTTTATATCTGGACAGAACCTGAATATGTTTTTACATGCTATCAGATGATGTAAAGTATATGCACATAATGATAGCAGTGAATACAGCTGAGATGCTTTTGGCAGACAGCATGTTAGAGCAGCGCCCCTTCTAATTTTATTGAGAGGCTGGAGAATGTATAAATAGAAAAGCTCAGTGTAATATACGGTAGGCAGCAATACTTACTCCTCAAAGAGATGACATGATTTAGAAGCAAATACTTTGTTTTGGGATTTCAATCTTCAGTGTCTGGCAGGTGGATTTGAATGCCTACACAGAACATGAAAATGAGTAACTGAACTACTACTAAAGTCTTAGTAGGAAAAATGCCCAGATGAAACTGGTGTCAGGAATCATAAACTTTAATAGTTTTAGAGATGGACCTTTGCTTATATCAAATCATGACAGGAGACCTTGCAGTAGCTTACAGCTAAATGTCTAATATTTCAGTGGGATGAAAACTTGAGGAATTCATTAATGCTTTGAAAGAATCACTTCTTTCTTGTATCTTGTAAATCCGTATTTGACGTAATAGGACTGCTTTTGCAAATTAGAAAAAAAATTAAAGTATTAACTTCTGGTTTTAGACCTTATATCCAGTGAAGGACTTCACTCTTAAAAAAAATTTAGTACTCAGTTAATGAATCAGTTCTTTACATTTCTAGAACATGAAACTTTCCTGCATTTTTCCTAGTATTTTGCATGAAGAAAATATACAAGAAAAAGTAGAGAATGACTGGGTGTCTTTCTTGGACTTTTAGTGTATTCTATGTTATATCTAGAAAAGCAAGTAGCTATACTGTCACCATTCTTACAATATTTCAAGGTGTGATGTGGATCTATTAGAACCATTATTCAGGCCATTTTTTCCCCCAGATTCAAAAAAGTTGATACAACAATCTGCTAGAGTATCTGATTTGACATTCTGCCACAGCAGGATTGCTTTTAACAGCATTTTAAAACAGCTTTTGCAGTATACATAGATAAAAATGTCAGTTGAAAGGACCTAAACTAGTAGAAGTTTTCCATCAGCTTACAAATCTAAAAATACAATTGAGAAAGAAATTAAATAAAGATCGAGCAAAAAGGAGTAAAAAGGGGAATAAGAGATTGTGTTTATATTTTAACTTTTCTTTCTTTAAGAGAAGGAAATGCATCACAAAATTGGAACCTGATGAATTTAATGGCAAAAGTCTTATTTTAGAGGACTAGAATCTCACTGTCCATGTGAAGTTCATCTCTTAGAGTTATTATCTGGAGTTTTGCTTTTGAGTTGAGTGGAAGTGTGCTGAAGTCTTACCAGGCTTATGTAAAATAACAGAAGAAATAGTTTATGAAGTTTAAAAAAGGTCAATTATGGTTCTTCAGTCACTTGGGAATATTAATTTGAAAAGATAAAATTATTTACTTTTTTCAGTTCACAGATACCGAATTACAGAGAAATAGTTTTCCTGTTGGTAGCAAATTTCAGGGGTTTTCAGTTGCAAATGCTGGATATTAGTACGTAATACAATTTGCCCTTTTTTTTAATAGCAGTTTTAAAAGTTTGAAAGTTTGACTGTTGAATACATGACTCATCCTCTCTTGAACTGATTAGAAATGTAATGTTATTATATTCTAAACAAATATTTCTTGATCATTTCAATGTTTAACTAAAAAATCAGTCTTTTGTTTCCCTGTTAAACATCGGCTTTAAAACATTCTCTGTAAGTCTCCTCCTGAGGTGGTACTTGGAAGCCTTGTCCAGCACAAGATTCTGTGTGTGCTTGTTCAATGATGACTATGTACCATCAACACCCTTTATTCTTCTGCAGCTTCATGACCAGATTCTGCTCATTTCTTACATTGATCACAATCTTTAGTGTCTTATGGGACTGGGACATAATTCTGTGAGACTCCCTGTCACTGTCATTGTCATTGTCACTATCACTGTAGTATGTTCTGCTGCAGCAGGGACTCAAGAACCACTTGTGTACTTTTCAGTTTGGTATTGCAGGGTGGTGTTGTCTGGGACACTTCACCTGCTTCTCACAGTTATCCACCAGACTCTGATTTCATATATTTCAGGGACAGTGAAATTTTCACAATCATCCTTTTATGACTGTGGTATATTGTCAGAATAACATTGCATTAGAACAATGTGTTCTCAACTATTGAGAAACACTTAGGTACCAGAGTAATGGGTTCTGTGAACCAGTAAATCCAGCGATAAAAGGAATTCTCAGCAGGCACAGAAGGCAAAATGTAGCAGAGCGGGGCACCTAATTGAAACAGCTTAAAGAATCAAAGCCTAAAAATCATCTTTTGCTTCTTCCTTTAATAGAATCTCACAAGTTCAGGAAAAATGTCCATATCTGAGTAGCAGGTAAAAGTAAAATTAACCCCTCTCTCGGCCTTGACAAACAACAAGAACAAAACAAAAAACCAACCAAACAAAAAGCAAAAAGCAAAAAACAACCCCCAACAAAACAACTCTGCTCTGATTTCACTGCATATCACCTTCCCTTTAGATGCTCAAAGTCAGAAATACTTTTCCATTCATTTTTCATAGTCATTGTTTTGACAGTGCATTTTCATACATCCCTTTTGTTTCTGCAGGAAAATACTGAAGTAAAATATAGTGAAAGTGAAATAGTCTTCTTTTCCTAGAGCCTCACAGCTAAGCTCCTAATTCTACAGTGTCTCAGCAGCAGCAGGAGGTTGGGAAACAGGTTTGAGTGTTGGAAATCAGTGTTCCACTGTAGGTGTGATTTTATCAATTTAAATGGTTATTTAAAATATAAATTGCATCAAGGAAGTATCTAAATATTTGCTAGGGGAAAAAGGGGCTGGAGAGAAGGGTTGGTGTAGCTTGCAAATATATATTCCACTGCTGGAGTTGAGAAGTTATCAATTTTTCCTGCTAAAGAAAACAAGTGCTTTCACTCGGAGAGGTGCAGAGGGACAGTGGGGGGTGTCAGCGGGAGGGTGAAACAATAAACTGCTTCATGTCCAGTGTAATGTTAGGGCCTCATTTATTCACAGAAATGCAGAGTGGCTGTAGAACAAGGGTGGAGTGATTGCATGACGTACAGGCAGAAACCTTACAGTTGCTATCTCATTTTTGTATCCTAAACGAGGGAAACGTGAATATGTATGTAGATTAATCAGTGTGAGGGACTTTGTTACCAAGAGTCAGAACTGTCCTGTGTCTGATATGGTGAGCTCCTCCGTCCAGCTGCTTGGGAGCTAAAAGACATGGGCTGACAAACAATAACCTGAAGACAACAGTTCCATTAAAATGGAACAAGCCTGCCTAACCCTTCTGATGTCATTTGATTTCAGTCATAAAAGAGGAAACTAACCAGAGTGAAATGGCTGAAGACCTGTGCAAGATAGGGTCAGAAAGAGCCCTCGTGCTGGATAGACTAGCAAGTAACGTCGCCAAACGTAAGAGCTCTATGCCTCAGAAATTTGTTGGTAAGAGTTAAACGTTTGCTGTCTCCTAAAAAATAAAACAAAACAACCCCCCCAAAAATATTACAAGATTTTTACTTTTGCTTTATGATTTTACTTGGTTTGATAAATTAATAGTATGTATCTCTACAGAATCAGATACAGAGATTTGTTGGGGGGGAAAAAACCCAAATAAATATCTCCAGCATACATTTCTGCATGTTTAAATTTCCACATCTGGAGATCAAATTTAAATCTTTTTCCTGCCTTTTTAAAAGTTTATGAACCAGATTATTACAAGATCTGGACGGGCTCTTAAAGTTGCCTTAAGAACCCAAAGATAGGAATAGAAGTTTCTTGTTGGGATAGCATTTGACCACACTTTCAGAGTTATTTTATTGAATTCTTGGATGACATTCAGATCTGGGCTTATTGGTGTTTCTGAAAGTGTTTGTTAGTAGTTGAACATAGAGTGGGTAATATTCTTCACCCTTTGATAAAGTCTGTATACTTCTAAAGCCCAAAATGATCATGGATATGTCTGAGAAAAATACCTAAATGAAAAGATCTTTGGGTACTTCTATGAATGATGCAAAATCTTCATGCCCATTTGCACCTAGTAGTTCCTGTCTTAACACTGAAAAATTTGATGTCATGCCTATAAAAATGAAGGCTCCACATATATTGTTTTGTTTATTAAGCAGTGGTTACACCAGTTCTGTGAGACCCACAGACAATATTTTGTCAGCTATGGAGGGTTAGTCTTAAATAAATAAAAACATGGGAAATCAGAGAACATCATATACTCATACCCAGTTAGATTCTTTTATCATTCTCTGCACAATCTTTTATAATATTATTCTATAGGAGACAATCAGATAAAACTAAAGTCTTTGAAATAAAACACACATTGAGAAAGTCTTCAGTCAAAAGTCAAGGCAAAAAAAGACCAGTTTGTGGGACAGAAAATGCAAATACACTTTATTCAACAAGGACACAAGGCTGAAAGGAAAATTAGTATTTCCTAGACAAGGAAAAGGGAATCTCAGCTACATCAGGAGGTGCAACAAAAAGTTTTAAAATAAAGTCCAATTTTTTTTCAAGTCCAAAGGCAACAATTCCAGGAGGTAGTCAAGGATAAAAAATGCTTATAAAAAGACAAAAGTTGTAGTAGAGGTAGCTACCAAAATATGTCAGCTGTGTGAGGCAAACCATATTAGTTTAGACACTCTAGGAACTGATTGGATTAGGCAAAATACTAATTCTGTGAAAGTTCCAGGAAGACCAGAAGTGTTAAACTTTAAAAGGTACTAGCAAGTATCCTATATGCAATGTATCTGTGGGTGTGGACTAGCTGTATCATTCTCCTTTTCTCTCTTCACCCCAAGAAACAGTAAAGAAAGCCAGTTTAACTATGAGTTTTAGAAGGGCAGAGTTTCCTGTTGGTTAGTTATTCAGTGTGCAGTGTGGGAAGACAACCTACTGACAGCAGATATTTATGGAAATTTGCTAACCTTCAAAAGGGCAAACTTTCCTGACAAGAAAATGCCCCCAAATCCTTTCCTTTCCAGTCCTCACCTGCTGCTTCATGTAATAGGTACATTTATGATTAATTCAAGGTTGGGCCAGCTGATCAGTAGAGGTTTTGGGTAGTAAGACATGTTTATTGCTCCTGCAGATTATCATCTCGTCCCAATCCCAGGGAGAAGGAGCAAAGGGCATCCTTCACATAAGGGAAGGACTGTCTTCTGCTTTGCTAGTTTTTTCTCAAGACTGAATTCATTAACTTTCAAAAGTGAGATTGTTCACCAAATTCAGCCAGTTACCTGTAAAATTCTCTCTGTATTCCAAACTGGAATAGCTCCCAGACCCAAAAGCAGAACTGGGTCATCCAAACCCAGATCAGAACTGCATGAAAGGTTGACACATGGTTATCGTGCTTTAAAAAAATAAGCAGCTGAGAAAAGAGAGGGATTAAAAAATACTAAGAAAAATGGTGTCCATGTGCACTGAATGCATTTTTACCTTTTAAGTACTTGCTTCAGAATCCTGAGCAGTGCAAAACTTGAAGCACATCAAACCATTAGCAGTTTAATTTACTTATGCTCTAATAACCACAGAAATGAGCTATTATTTTTAATGAGTGCAAGTATTACCTGCATTGCCCAGATATAGAAATGGTACCTGCCTACCTTAGGTTTGTGTCTGTTTCAGACACTTCACTTGAAAACAAATTTTTCTCATGAACACTTGATCCTCTCAGGCAACTACCAACTAGTTATGCTACATAAAGCAAATACTACCCAAGAAACAGATATTGAAATCATGCCTTCTGGATACCCAAAATTGCATGTATAATGAAGACCAGTCCCACTTTTCAGTGGTGTGCTGTGCCCATGGAATATAAATGATATTGGCCTCATTGTATCCTCCTTGAATCAAGTGTATAAATTCATATTAGGAAGGGTTTTCTGTATTTAATTCAAGAGTCTTTCACAATGCCTATTTTGAATCTTAAGCATCAAATTCTGCCTGAAAACTGTAGCATTATCAAGGATAAATCTTGAAGAAAAAAAGAATACACTCCAGTAAAGGGCTTCTCAAATTGGCAGAATGATTGGGAAAGAAAACAAGAGGAACTGGAAGCTTATGCAGCACAGCTAGAAGGTGTCTGTACCCTACATCCCCTATAGGAACTTACACAATGTTCAGAGTATTTCTTTCTCTGCCTGCAGAGCATGGACAAACTAGCATGAAACCACATCATGTGGGAAATATGGACAGAAGGACTTCCTACACTTTGGTCCCCATCCTTGCAATAGTGTCATGCTAGAAGGTTTCTGTGCTCTTCACTGACCTTGGATAGTCAATTTGAGTAGAAACTGGGTGGGAAATTATTGATAAAGTAATGTGCAGACCTTCTGGTAATTTTTCCGTGCTTCTTCTAGCATTTCTTTTGACAAATTAGGACTCTGTGAGACCTACCAGCAAATTTCATATTGATCAGGAAATAATGACAGCATATAGAGATGTTTGTGGCTTTCAGTGTTTCCCAAGATCTGCAGAGCTAGAAAGTCCATCCAGACTACAAACATTCTCTTATTAGTAGGCTACAGGAATCTGTAGAAATCTTTTACCCCTTTTCATTTGCATAAGTTTATTAGAGGCCTAATAATAACATTGATGGTTTACACTGTTTGAGAACACTGCTTAAGTTCATAAAATCAGTATCTGTGCATTTAAATAGTTTCTTCCACTCCTAACTTTTGCTTCTACATTTTACTTAGTCCTGTCTGTCCAGGAATTTGGGGGAAATTGTAGTGAAACTTGTGTTCAATACTAGGGTATCCAGCTATAGATACGTAAGTGCAGTCTGATTTTAAAAAAGTTAAAGATTTTCCCCTTACTTTTGGCATCCAAACAGAGTCAAGTTACATGTAACAAGTAATCTTCCTCTATATAGGGCTTTTTACCTTGTAGGAAAAATATATTCTAACTACAAATGCACTTAAATTTTTTTCCATGGTTCTTGGTTACTCTTGTACGTGACAACTTTTTGACACAAAATATTTAGGAACATGGGTAATGTGGTAATGATAATGTGTCTAACATGGCTTATTTAAAAACAAGGTGTGGGGAGGTGGTGGCAGTACAAAATGTAAAGTTTTTGTTGATTTTTTCTTTAAAATGATGTATGACCACATTGCAATGTGGGTTATTTCTAAGAAACTGAAGGTCTAAAATTAAAACATACAATTTCCAGTCTAAGAATGTAATACTTTAAGGAAAAATATTGACAATGTGCTTCATGCTCTGAAGCATGGAGGCCAGGCTCACTGTGATTGTGCTGGTACACTGGCTTCATTAACCACAAAGAAAATGCCCCAGCTCACTGTAGGGACTCCAGTTAGAAATGAGAAAGAGAGGATGAAGCACTTGGTCTGTAGCGCCCCTGAGTCCCATATAATTATTTCCAGAATCTGTTTTTCATCCATTTGCTTTTCCAAAGCCCTCAGATTATTTAGCAGGCTAAAAAAAACCCACCAACCCACCGTTTTTCTGCCCAGCTATATTAGAGAACTGTGAATACTTCAGGTGGATTTCAGAGGTGGATTTGGTCAACTCTCTTCTTCCATGTTTTATTAATCCATGATGTGCAGTTCCTTAATTGTGTAGAAATCAACCGTCTGACTTCTCACTGTTGTTCAATGCAGGTGAAAAGTGTTTGCCTGACCTTCCATACGATGCCACCACCAACTATGAGAAGGAGAACGAGATTATGCAGACACACGTTATCGACCAGGCCATTAATAATGCCATCAGTTACCTGGGGGCAGAGTCCTTGCGTCCCCTTGTCCAGACACCACCAGGAGGTTCTGAGGTGGTGCCTGTCATCAGCCCCATGTATCAGCTCCACAAACCTCTTGGGGACAGTCAGGTTCGCTCCAACCTTCCTCAGGACAGCGCAGTGGAAAACTTGTTGTTGCTTTCCAAAGCCAAATCTGTCTCCTCCGAACGAGACGCCTCTCCCAGCAACAGCTGCCAAGACTCAACAGATACAGAGAGCAATAATGAGGAGCGCAGTGGTTTGATCTACCTGACAAACCATATAGGTCCCCATGCAAGAAATGGCATCTCTATAAAAGAAGAAAACAGGCAATATGATGTCTTGAGAGCAGGTACTGACAATTCCCAGGATGCTTTCAAAGTGATCAGCAGCAATGGGGAGCAAGTGAAAGTTTACAAGTGTGAACACTGTCGAGTCCTTTTCTTGGATCATGTGATGTATACAATCCATATGGGTTGCCACGGGTTCCGCGATCCTTTTGAGTGCAACATGTGTGGCTACCATAGCCAGGACAGGTACGAATTCTCTTCCCACATAACTCGAGGGGAGCACCGTTTCCACATGACTTAGAACTCCTCTGGCACAGATCTAGCCTCAACAGCTGTGTTACTGGAGCTGCACGAGCCATGACAGCAACAAAGCACAAGTCAACTGGACAGTAAAAGTAACAAGAGAATCAGAAGTTCAGCAATTTTTTCTCACAAGAAAAGAGATTTCGTTTTGGTAGCATGCATTGCAATTCAGTTTTCTAAAATGAGTTTTTACTGAAAATGTTTGATCACCAAAAACCTTTAGTAATGTAAGTAGGAGCTTTTGTAGTCACATAACTGAAAGCCCTTCCCTTAACTGATGCTTCTTGCAAACCTCCCTTGCCAGAACTGTTAACCATGCCAAGGATGCACCACACGACGAGGACACAACAGGCAGGAGTGGCCAAGCTTTCTCTCTTAACACCCTGAGCGTTGGGCTCTTCTACCAGATGTATGTTTTTTTACTTCCTGGTATTATTTGACTCTTTTGGGAAGATTGAACTCAACTAAAGAAGGAGGGGCCCATCTCAGATGATCTCACAAACAGCTGGGATGGGACAGGACTCCCCAGCCAGAAGGTTCTGAGTTGCGTTGGTGGTAAAAAGTAGAATGTTTTCACCTGCAAGGGTGCTACTGGTATTGACATCACAACACGCTTTGTGTCACTAGGCAGGTGGGCAGGAATGTGAAAGAAAGAAGACACCCTTGTAATATACTCTGTGAAGTACAAATTGCATTTAATGTATAGAAAAAGGGTATTGTTGGCTCTTCTTTGAATAAATATTTTCCCTTCCTATCCAATAAAACCCCACTTTTTGTTAAGCAACCCCTCCTCTCTCTGTATAAACAAGTTACAATGTATTTAATTTTTCTTTCTTTTTAAAGTTTCAGTTATTTAGAAAAGTATGATGTACAGTTGAGAGAAGCACTAGATAGATATATGTGTGGGGAAAGTCTCCTTATGCACATTTTTCATCTTTTTAAACTGTCTGGAAAATACCCAAATATCCCTCTCTTACATATGAAAAAAATCCCATTTTGCTTGCACAGAAGATGTCCTCTTGTAGATTTTGTGGCTTTACTCATGTGTTGCACTTAATTACTTTTAAAGCACTCAGATGAATTAAACCAGCCAGTCAAAATTTGCAGCTGCCTTCTTTTTTCCTGGCATTTGCCGTTTCATGAGGGACCAAGCCCCACAAAGGTGCTGAGAACCTTGACTTCCTATTCACTTAGTCATTTCACTACCTGCTTTGAGTTACTTTTACTTCAGGGAACTAATCTTAAGGTTAAAAAAATGGTGGGTTTTGCAGAAGGGAGACCAGAGACTGCAGCACTTTGCAGAGTGCAGCAAGGTCCACCAAAAGCTTTCTCCATGGTGGGTTCTGCTTCAGATACTGTACCTTCAATTATAATCAAAATTCTGTGACAAATAGATTTTAACTCCAAACACAGCTGATATTTTAAAAATACTTTTTTTTTTTTTTTAAAGCTGCTACTTAGCTTCCTCTTCCAAATATTTCTTTTCTTTCCCTGAACACCCTCGTAATTTAAGACTGGGCAAAAAGAAATTTTTGCAGCTGCATAAAAATCTGTCATCAGTGCTACAATACTTCCTGGGCAACATCCATAAAAATAACCCATCTTAGTAACTTAATGTATTAATACTTCCACTGTGATAATAGCTGGATATTTTGCAATAAACACAATCAAATAACCTACAAGACTAGCAGTCTTGTCATACATTTACACATTTTCCATGCATAAGTGCATGCAAGCACATCTGTTTATTATAAAAAAGATTTGAAGGGACCATGAACTGCTTGCATCTAGGCCAAAGTGGCCTGATACTTGTAGCTATATTTGAAGCACATTTCCTATATACATGTACTATTACAGGCACGCAGAGTTCCCTCTTCTGCTTTCACTTTTGCAGGTGTAAGTCAGGAGCAACAACACTGAACCTAGAGGAAAGATACTGATGAAAGAACGAATTACAAATATATGCTTCTATATGCTATGTAAGGCATGCTATACAGGCCTTAGCTTTTCATGCCAGCTCATGCCAGCTTGCTTCACCTGACACGTGGGCACAGCAGTGTTCTTACAATGAACGTGTCACTGACAGTTCAGCAGCTTTGTCAACAGATGTGAATGCTGTGTCTGAATGTCTCCAGACCTGGTGCAGGTACCCACAGCAGTGAGAACACATCGCAAGGACATGTTAGGTGGGCTCATACATACAGGATGGCCAACAATCTCCCCAAAATGAGTGGTATAAACTACAGACCCAAAGGCGACATCCTCCATTCCTACACTATACCTCGGTTGCCTTAAGAGACTTCATTGATGCCCCTCCACTCCCACATTATAGCTCAGCTGAGACTTTATTCTTGTTGCCTTCCAGCCTAAGATGTTGTGAAGGGGGTGGGCACAAGGAATTGCTGGTCACTTTCATGCCTCAGATATGGTTTTGTCACCAATGCCTGCTACACATTCAGCTTCAAGACAGACTGTACCTGGCAAAGAGGTATTATTGAATATTTTGTATAGAAATAACCTGAAGAGAACCTTTAAGGGGGGGGCTTACTCGATGAGTTTCCATTAATAATTCTTTCTATTTAAATACAGTTGAAACAGATTCATTTTTCATAACTGGTAGGGATATATTCAGCTGTTCTTACCCCTCTCCAAGTTTGATCAATACCAACCAAGAGGGGACAAAGTAATTTCCTAGCCCTGCTGCAACGCCCTGTGTGAGATCAGACACTGGCTGTACAGAAACATTCTGCTTTTATTGCTCTTACACCTCTTTCCTGCTCTTCTACGATTTAGGTCACTATATATACCCCATGCCATAATTTTTTTTAACCCCTTATTTTAAGAGACCCCGGGCTATAAAGGGGAGTGGGACAGAAGCTTACTCAGGTGGTTTTGTTTCTTTGTTTTTACCAAAATCTGACACAAGTAATGCCACGTTCATGAACCGTGTAAACAAGCACAGCTCCAGTGGACTTTAAAACTGCCTCAAACAAGGCTTTGAAATGTGATTTCTAATTACTGGGTAGGTTTGCTGCCTTCACAACATCTCTGTGCACACGTGCACATGTCCGAGTCTCTGTGTCACTTCTCTTGCTGACATGCACATGCCCTGTCTGTGGCTTTGTGTATCATTAATATTTTATATACATATGTATTTGTATATAGATCTAAAGTGGTTTATATGACATGATGATGCACTGTCAGTCACAGTGGGTTTGTTTCCTGGCTCTGGAGTTTTCTTATTTATACTATAACAGAATATGTTGATGTTGTATATTAAACAGTACAGTAGTATAAGTAAGTATATTAAAGCACAATGTATGAGAGGGCATAGTCTAAGGGTAGGAGCAAATGGCTCTGTTCACGAAAGGGCTTTCTTAGGTTTGTTTTTTCCAGTGTTTCTTTCTCTTTTGCACAAAATCATCTTCAATTGGTTTTGAGACAAGTGATTCAATAATTTTATTTATGAACATATGAAAGGATGGCATGAAAATAGGATGTTGTGTCTGTGTACATCGAAACAAACTGCGCCCTCGGAAAACTAGTTTAGTGTAACCTCCCTTTTTCTCTTTTTTTTGCTACCGTGCAATACCCTGATATAGCTTAGCTGAAATTTAAAAGGAGTAAATGTGTGAGTAGCTTTAAGTTTATGTCTTGTTTTTAAAAAGTAAAAAATGACTGCTTCCCAGTCCTTCCCCATGCACTGCCTTTTCTAATAGAAAAGTTGTATTTACACTTTTTTTTTCTGTGGTTTTATATTGTAACTTCATTTTTCTTTGAGAATCTTGTATTTAAAAAAAAAAGCAAATTTCATAAAAATTGGAAATGTTATTAAATTATGCCTGCAAAGTGAGATGCATCCTTTAAGACAAAAGAACAAGGTAAAAAAACCCAAACCCCTGAATCCTTTTCTCACTCTGCTTGTGGGTGATGAAGTCGTTGGGCACAGCAGGAGGCCCTGTGTCTGTGGGGTGGTGACTGGGGGCGGGGGGCACAATGTAAGGTGAGGTGCAGGCTCACACAGAGCTCTGTGGGCTCAGGAAGCGCTGAACCTTGAGTGGGGCCTCAGCCACCACTGCCGCACTCACACCCCACTCCATGGGGGGTCCATCCATGCTGTCCTCACAACCCATCCTTTGGGGCCAGAAAAAGCCAGGCTCTGTCATCACCCCATGCTCACCACTTACATGAGGCAGCCTTGCTTATCTAGCTGAAGATCAAGTCCTAAACTGGCTACCTGCTACCTCGAGTGTCCCCGTCCAAAAAACACATGCAGCTCCTGTGAGCAGCCGACTTTGAGACAGTTGCTTCCTCTTCAGCCCTCTCCTCTTACCCTTCCCTCCCACCAACTAGACAAAGTCATTACAGAACACAATTACCTCTGCATGTAGAATCTCATGGTAATTCAAAATAAAACATAGTGAAATTATTTCTACTATTTGCCATAACAAAGGTGATTTCTCTGTGGGCATCCCTTCAGATTCCAGCACAGTTTCACATCAGATATTTAATGCAAACAAGAATCAGCGTTTTGCTTTAAAAAAGCACCATTTATATAGTTTTAAAAATATTTCCATTTTAAAAACTGTATTATTATGAACAAAATGAGATTTTAAAAAATAGGAAAAGAAACCCAAAACAAACTGTAATGGTATTGCAATTAATTCTTTTACAGGTCTCCAAAATCTAAATTTTCCTTAAGTTTATGTGATATAGTTTTGTCATAAATTATGACTAGTTGTCTGCAAGAAGGAACTAACATCCTAATTCCTTTGTTCCCCATCATAGCTAGTTCTAAGTAAATGAAACAAATTACAAATTTCTGTGTCAGCAGGTGACTCTTCTTGAACCAAAGTAGAGACATCCACAGATTTAGATGCAAGATTGTGTACCTCAAAAATCTATTCCGGGCATCCGTCTGTTACGTTTCAAAGACTTCCTTCAAATCATCGTATTTATACTTTTTCCTTTATAGTTTCCAATAACTTGATTATAGTACATCAGAAACTGTGGTAGGTACCAAGATACAAATTGTTACACAGACAAAACCTACAACGAGCGGGGGTGATTGTTTTTAGCCTCGAATCCCCAGAAAGGCTTCCCAGTCCATACATAAGCATCTAAACAGCAAAATAGTGTTAACGTGTGCTCAACAACCAATGCTTTTGAAATCAAGAAATATACTAAAACACACATGATACTTTCAGTAGATACCAAAATGAGAACTCAGAGCCAGATCTGGAGCATGCAGACCTGATAATGTCACAATTTCCTATTTTTTTGATGTGTGTGTGTGAATCATTCAACATCTTATTTGGATAAAGGGGTTAGAAATGCTCCTGACTTTGCCAGTGTACTGAAGATATTGCACTGCTTTTGGCAGCTTGTGAGATGGTAAAAAATAAAGGAAAAGCTTTCACTGAAAGCTTCAAGTTTCAACAGCAGTACTGACAGTTTGAAAGCTGAAAACGTGGCAACTGGAAAACCAAAATGTCTTATTTCTGAAAAAACTGTTCATGCCTGTCTTGTGGGTCAGAACTCCAGGGCATCCTTCCCAGTTATGGGCCAGCCAGATAGTGTCCACCAGCATGAAACACGGGCAGCTTCTTTTCTGGAAGGAAAATGGTAGATGAGAACAAATACTGGTCCAAATGCATCATGGAAGACAAAAATTCCTCAAACCTGGCCTGTGGAAGGCAACAGAAATGTGAATCTTAACAGGAGGTCCATTATTTCAGTTCTAAATTTTAATTTTTGATGTGTCTTTATTTTGGGCCCACAGACTTTGACTTTTCAGGGCTGCTGAACATGCAATTCTGACTGAAGTCACTGGCAGAGTCAGACATGCAGCATTTCTGAAATCCTGCTATAATGGCCAAAACATGGTTATGCAGGAAACAGGAGGGACAAACTTTTGCAGAGTTTCACTGAAAATGGGAGTGAGAAATCCAAAGCCAGGCTTCAGATGGCAGGAGTTCATCGCATTTAAACAAAAAAAAGGCTGCAGTGAGCGTGACTCTTGCTAAATGAACAGATCCCTGTTAACTGCAGTGAGACTTCTGCTGCATTTAAAATTACAACTTTTTTTTTTTTCTTTTTGTATAAAGGAAGGTGTCACTGCTTTAAAGACCATCCCAGGACACAGAACAATTCCTGGTTTTATCTGTCCTGACCACACGTATGAAACGTGAATGATAGAGGGTAGCTGCTGCTGTTGCTACCACTGGTGACGGCTGCAAATCACACAAACCAACGCCTTCCTGTCCCTTGGGAGAGAAGTGAAGGTTCTGGTTTATGAGCAGTTAGGGAAGAAAAAAGAAGAAAAAAAAAAGTAGAAAAAAAATCTACACCTTGCAGCAGACAGTGAGCCTGGGGCTGATGGGGGTGAGGAAGTTAATCAGCCCTGAGCAGGCTGTTCGGGATGAGGCCAAACAGATGGCTCGTCTCTGAAAGGGCAAAACGGGAAGCAGATGTGGCCACCGCTTCTCCCCATGCATAACTGGGAACCAGCCGGTTGGTGAGGAACTTTGCATAACAAGGATAATTTGGTATCAAAACTGTCCCTAGAAGTGATCTGAATGGATCTGGGCACAGTTGACAGTTTTCACTTCTTGTTTCCCACTCAAGGTTCAACCAGATTAAATTTCAAATTTGACCTTACTGTTGGCCTGGGGTTGCTCTC